TATGGAATACTTAAATGCATTATCGTGAACTGTAATGAACATGAACAGTAAATAAGGAATATCCTTAATTTCCCCACGTACTGGAATTTGTGTGAGGGAAAACGCGGGAAAACGCTTGAGTTAAATAAAACTCAATAATCCCGGGAGTGATCGCTTGCGACTGATCATTTTCACGGTAGATTTGAGACGCGACGAAAGTAGATTGAGGCACCTAATTTTAGTCACCTGCGGCCAATCGATTTACTACAAGCAATACATTACTTTCTACACCAATAAAGTCGTCTAGAAAATAATTCAAAATTCGTTTTTCTAACAGCCAATAAACCACTAAAACAATATTCAGATATTGATACTAGAGGTAGACATATTATTCAAACGAATTCGGCAGTCAATCGGCTAAGCAAACACTTCAATAGTAATCAATCTACAGTTTATTTTTAATGGAAAACTACGAGTTTTTAATAAATGCCGATTCATCAATTCCAACATAACAGCACGCCTTTTCCCCCAGAATAGGTAGGCAGATTAAGGCACATCATGCACAATGTAACACCCGCTTTTCACTATTTTTGTTAAAAGTCCCTTGTAATAGGGGGTGAGCCTGTTGCCATATACTGAGCACAATTCCAGACTCCGTGCTAATTCTGAGATTATTTTTTTAAAACCTTATTTTATACCAATTTTTTTTAAACCCGACCGACCTACCTGGTAATCGAACCCTTGCCCGGCAGTCACACTTGCGACCACCATGCCATCGAGGCATCAATTCCAAATAAATTTCATACGTGTGTACAATGGTGCTTAATTAAATGAATTATTAGCTCTTTCTACCAGATGTGTTCTTAAATCTATTTTGATAACCAATTCCATTTCAGATATAAACGAAGAACGACTTCATTGTGCATTTAGAACACAATGGTCCTTTGCCAACATAGCTTACATTCAACAGACGTTCCCATTTCAGTTCACCTTTTATTTCACTGTTCTTTGACAATAGAATAATTATTTTAAAGTAATTAGCAGACAAATAAAATTATTCTCTTTATATTAAGGACATAAAAATGAATCAAAGACAAGGAGACCATGTACAATGCAACTTACAATTGCCGTGTTTAATAAAACTTCTATACGAATTAAACAAACCTTTATAAAGGAACCGATAAAAAAAATGTCACAAAGTAGAAAAAACAAGGAAATGTAAATAAAAATAATTACGTTAAAGCCGTAAGTTTCAAAGGCTATTTGAGGAAGCATAATATTCATTTAGTTTTTTATGTTTTTGCTTCATGTTGGCTCCTCCTTCCCACGACATGCAAGATTTTCTTTTTATCCTGCGGTGTGTGGCACAGAGAGTTACACAAACAATAAGTAATATCATGAACCACACATACATTGACCAAGGATATTAATTTACTTTGAGACAGAAAATTACCATTACATTAGAAAAAAAGTGTTAAAAACATGTGTCTGTTTTTCAGTAACAATTTTTATTTCGTGGAAAATATATTTCATTACTTTGTCCTTCAGTGGTTGAAATCTGCGGCAAATGTGATATTTGCCTGTCTTTATAGTTATTTTCTTTTAATGAGAACACCCTGAGCTATGTTAAGTGCAGGAAAATACAAAATGTGTATGTCATTTTTTTATAAAATTTGCGGTGTTATAAAAAAAATCTTTTTAGTGTCATTTTAGAAAGAAACTTGTCCTTCACCCAAATCTAAAATTACAAGCATCGATCGATGCCTTATCCATATATACAAGTAGACGTACATCTACTTTCTACATGTCACTTGTGTATATATTGTTTAAATAATCATTATCGTCATGCAACATTCTGGTATCGAACTCATATAAAATTACGGACTCGTGCTTACCTGCGACCGCAGACAAACGTACCGTTTCATTATTTTAATATAAAATATTTTCAAAGGATTGTAACAGTTAATTACGGCCAGATATTCTCGAGCGTATTTCGTGTATATTATTAAAAAAATATATATATTCTATTCATACATTATCTGAGCATGATATACAGAACTTACTTTATTGTAAAAACCTTTTTCACGAAACACGATTTTAATTAAATTGTAAATCTTTTTGAAACGTGTTAAAATATATACCTTTCAAGGTGTTTTAACAATTGTAGCACCTGCTCCCAACAACAGATTTTCCGAATAAAATAAAAGAGTCCTAATCCATTCTCGGAATATTCCTTAAGTGGGTCTGAATCGAAAACGATCAAAACTCATATCGGTTCGGTACTATCGCGTCGGGTAAATAATTATTTGGAATATTCCAAGTCGTTAATAAAAAATGTATCACTACACACGTTGGTCATCAATTATTACAGTATACTGGTACTGGTACATGTACACGAATTAAGCCGCTTTCCACGCTCGTTACCTACTCCGACTGAGTAATTCATATATACAGATTCACGTTCACAAAAGAGAAAATTAGTTGCTTCGTTACACAATCACGTTCTACCACTAAACGAAGCCGGATGCACAATTATATTTAAACTCTTAGCTCCTGTCAACAATTTCAATTACATAAATATTTGATACATTTTTTGCACTACTACACATTTCACATTAATATAACAATCTTTTATAGTCAAATATAACGTTATTCCTAATAACTTGTCTAAATTAAAATAAAATGGAGTGACGCGTATTTAATGGCCCCGAGCAACCCTTTTAAATACAAAATTAAACTCGTAGAGTAATCAAAATTTGTATGCCATTGTCTAACAACTACTGCAAAGGGAATATGCTCAGAATTGAAATAGTTTCTAAAGGAAAATTTTAGTGCTGAATGAAGGTAACTGGAATGTGTCTAGTTCATTTTCAAAAGACAAGTTCTAAAATAATATTCATTACATAGTTCTGAGTAACTGGGAATATTTTGTACTGGAACTGATATGCATGTTGAGGTGCTTTGTTTTTGTACAGGTACAAAGGACCAGAGGAAATCAGAGCTTGACAAGAGTATTGACGTAACAATACGAAATCCAAACGAGACAATAGAAGTCCATGCAGCTTCACATATTGACGTAGCAAAACAACCGTAGCCAACCAGAATATTAATTTCACCTTTGAAGCAAAACAAACTAATTGTTCGGTACCTTGTTTCAGGTTAAAATGAAACATTATTTGAACTCCACTATTATGAGGAAGGTTGGCTGTGAAATGCATTACTCTAATTTATTCAAAGCAAAGGCAAGTACAATATTCATATCGACGAAAAGAGGTTTACCTCGGAAAACCACGTATAGTTTTGAATTTTGGATGTTGTTTTGTGACGTTTTAATAAACTTTAATGCATCGGATGTCCGCCTTCTACTTGAAACCTTACCTCACATAGAAGCCTTTATAACTGGTAGCAAGAAGTCATAACCTAATTCCATTAGCCAATATTCCTTACGAAAATGACGATGCAGTCTTATTTTGTGTAAGCATCTCTGAAAATATATTAAGAAAAGTTATTTCTATTTTGAAGCCAATACCATCTTGAAGCCAATACTAGTGGATCTACAAGAGTTTTTCGCTAAAAGCAGAAACCACTAAGATAATAACAAAATTAAAGACAAAAGAAAGAATTTAAAATCTCCGAATGTGATCTCATTGTACAAAAAAAATGTAGCGACTTTTCCCTTAGGATTAAATAAAGTAAGAAAATTATTTTATTTAAGACTGTCTCCCGAATTCAAAGTAGGGTAGGCAAAGAAAGGTGACTGTAGGTTTGCAGTCTGTATTACAGGAGCTGGAAAAGGTATAAAGTGTTAAATCTATTGAGAGTGGATATTTTCCTGTGATGTAAGATCAATAGTGGAAAACTCCGAGTCTGCATCTGAATAAATGAAAACCCTTTTGTCTTCTTGCTTTAGCCCGAAGCTTGAAAAACAGGTACCGAGTGACTTTACTGACATAAAAAACAAACAATTCAAACAAAGGCTCCCGACAGCTGTACTGAAGCGCGTCCACCGGAGTACATCTCAATAATTTGCGTAAACGTTCTCTATTGAGTTTATTATCAAAACGTTCGAGACAAAATCTTCAGAAAATTAATATTCCGTCCCTCCTGTTTTCGTTAAAACTTACATTGTCCCGTAATCAGATTATGGCACAACTTTAAGGATCTAGAAAACCATCCGCCAAATATCTTAATTAAGAGGATCTTTCATGGAACGGGTATCGGTTGGGGCAACCACGGGCGGATTCTTGCCCCCGCCCCCGTTACTGTGGCAAAACTTGTAATGGCATCTAACTTAAACATAAGTTTTTTGATAAGTCAGTGTTTAAACGATAGGGCGGCGGGGGAGGGGACTTACAGGTTGCCCGGGGTGTGAGGGGCGATCACTAGTGATGGCGGGTCGCGCGTATTTTCATTATATCGACACTCATTAATATTTTGATTTTTCTTGAACTTTTTGTTACTTTTGGTTTTGTTAAAGTTTTTTGAGCACTAGTGATGTTATAGTACGGTAAAAATCTTATGTGACTTATAAATAAGGTTTTTAATTTAGTTTTCTGTTTTTTATCCTATAATTATATATTTGGTATAAATAAACATGTATAATATTTATTTTTTAAATTCAATATAACATGACACAGAAATTATTATTTCACCAAGTAATTTTCCATTGGTCCGGTACGAAACAAATCATGTTATTTTAATATTGCTTTAGAAACACGAAGACATAAATAGCATAATTTAATACACACTCCAAAGCAAGAAAATAAATAAAATATATTTCTTAACACATTGTCTCAATATTTAACCTAAAATCTACCCCATGAATTAAAAATTTTGTTAAAAAAAAGGAAATCGTACAAAAAAATAAAATTGAAAATTTTTTCCATCGATATCGATACAGATTATTTTTCCCTTACTAAGAAGCAACAGGGTGCTGGACGCCTGCGCGTTCTACCCCAGAGAGGATAAATGGGCCGGCAGGCATGCTCGGGCCTCAGATTCGAGTTAGGAGCCAGCGAGTAGGGTCGGTACCCCAGCTAGGCTCCCCGCGTTCTCCGGTCGTAATGTTCTTTCTATCTTCATAAATTCTCTCTTGGACTTAGCCGTTTTTTTGTGAAGTGACTGACTGTTCCTAAATGTGATGAAGACTTTAAAATTTAAAGTGTGACTTTAGATGTTCGAGATGAATTAGTTGCTGCTTGCAGGTGAGATTTAATTTTAAGTTATGTTAATTTTATTTTATTTTATTTTAATTATACTTAAGTTTATTTGTAAGTTATTTTTAAAATTATTTCATGTTGTAAAACTTCTTAAAAAAAGTTTTGGAACATGTAACTAAAATATTATCTCCAGGAAAATTTTCTATGAACATTTTTCTGCGGGAAATGTTTTATAGTTCATAAAAATAATTTTACAAATTTATTCTAAGTCTATTTGTAAGTTTAATTTTATTTTTAGTTAATTTTAAGGCTCTAGATTTAAGATTATTTCTAAGTTAGATTGTAAGCTCTTAAATTAAATGCATATGCGATCAATGGGCAAAAAGTTTGAGGGTACTTAGGAAAATTACTGGGGAACGGGGAAAATTACTGGGTTAGGAAAAAAATATTGCAAGTCCAGTAAAAAATTTTACCAACTTTTTAGTATTAAAAAAATTTACCAACGCCAAAGTAAATCAAAAAATAATCTTTGGCGTTTGAATAAAATATAAAAAGCTGTTGAAAACTTTAAACTATTTTTACAACACCTTTTCGTAATTATATTTTCCCTTATATTCAAAATATTGCTGGGAAAAATAATTACAAGTATCCAATAAAAATATATAGGCTGTTAAAGTTGAAGTCAACTAAAAAAATACTGGTACAATTTACTCAATATGTTCAAAGTAAGGCCGATATAATTATTCAAATAAAATTCGGTGTTAAAATATTACCAAGGCCTATAAAATGAAACAGAGATATAAAAGTAACAGGAAAAAAATAAAAGTCCTTAAAAAAATCTACAATGGACTGTATAAAATGAAATAAAAAATAATATTTCATTAGTCTAAAATTTATTTATTCGGAAAAAAATACACAAGTTCCATAAAAGGTCTAAAATAGACCTGAAAAGATTTTAGGGTAATAAAAAAATAAAATTGCCCCTAAAACTTTATTCATCGACTTCGAAATCTAGAAGTCCAGTAATAAAATCAAATTAAATATCTCAGATAGTCAGAGTCACCTTTAAAATTATTCGGAGGATATTTAAAAAAGATTGAATTATTAATAAAGCACTGAAATATTACACCGCGATATTTTTTAGCTTTAGCATTATAAAATCGTATCAAAATTCAATTAGGTCGATCGCAAACTTCCGAATCAGCAATGCAAATTAGGGAAATGAGATGTTGATACAATTTTAATATGCAAATTAAATAACCAAACAGTACTAATGTATGGGAGCCTGATATTTAAATTCATTGCTACATATATTATGATATCGACTCAAATAAATATCTGCTATGTTGAATTTAAATTATAAATTCACTAAAGTAACTTTTATCGAGTACCATACCGAATACACCATTTTAAAAATTATATAAAACAAAATGGTGTTTCCTTGATGTCTTTATTGCTCTTAAAATTATGGCGACGGGGTTAGAAAATACAGTTCATTGTTTTGCATATTCATTTAGTTTTGAAACAATCTAACGCTAGAAAAGAAGAACGGCTTCTTCTGAGCGTCAGAAGATACATACACGTCGTCTGTAATGACAACGTATCTTCTTCGTGTGTCTTCGTCTTCATTTGCAGCAGTTTATGTCACATACTTAATGACCTCTGAGTTTGGAAATTAATTTGATTCGATTTTTCACCGTACCGACGGCGGCAAAATTACGGCGGTTTAACATAGCAACTTTTGGAATATTTTTAATACTTCCATGAAAAATTTAATAGCGACAAAAGGGCATAAGTACAATAAAAAGAAATTCCTTATGCTACAAGTCTTAACTTTAGCAATATTTAAACTTCATAAATACTGAAAAAGAAATATAAATGCAATGGAATAGTCTCTATACACACAAAAAAGATTTGAAACCAAAGTCATTTTACTTTTACAGCAAGCGTCTTCTTGTGTTCTCTTCTTGTCTTCGTCTTCATTTGCAGCAGTTTATGTCACATACTTAATGACCTCTGAGTTTGGAAATTAATTTGATTCGATTTTTCACCGTACCGACGGCGGCAAAATTACGGCGGTTTAACATAGCAACTTTTGGAATATTTTTAATACTTCCATGAAAAATTTAATAGCGACAAAAGGGCATAAGTACAATAAAAAGAAATTCCTTATGCTACAAGTCTTAACTTTAGCAATATTTAAACTTCATAAATACTGAAAAAGAAATATAAATGCAATGGAATAGTCTCTATACACACAAAAAAGATTTGAAACCAAAGTCATTTTACTTTTACAGCAAGCGTCTTCTTGTGTTCTCTTCTTGTCTTCGTCTTCATTTGCAGCAGTTTATGTCACATACTTAATGACCTCTGAGTTTGGAAATTAATTTGATTCGATTTTTCACCGTACCGACGGCGCCAAAATTACGGCGGTTTAACATAGCATTTGTTGGAATATTTTTAATACTTCCATGAAAAATTTAATAGCGACAAAAAGGCATAAGTACAATAAAAAGAAAATCCTTATGCTACAAGTCTTAACTTTAGCAATATTTAAACTTCATAAATACTGAAAAAGAAATATAAATGCAATGGAATAGTCTCTATACACACAAAAAAGATTTGAAACCAAAGTCATTTTACTTTTACAGCAAGCGTCTTCTTGTGTTCTCTTCTTGTCTTCGTCTTCATTTGCAGCAGTTTATGTCACATACTTAATGACCTCTGAGTTTGGAAATTAATTTGATTCGATTTTTCACCGTACCGACGGCGCCAAAATTACGGCGGTTTAACATAGCATTTGTTGGAATATTTTTAATACTTCCATGAAAAATTTAATAGCGACAAAAGGGCATAAGTACAATAAAAAGAAATTCCTTATGCTACAAGTCTAAACTTTAACAACTTTTAAACTTAATCAATACTGAAAAAAGAAATATAAATTAAATGGAATAGTCTCTATAAATATAAAGGATTTTGAAAGAAAGCCATTTGACTTTTAAGACAAGAAGTCTCAGGTACAATTCCGGGGTTGGTTATACATTTCATACGACTTAAAAAAGAGTCCGTATTAAAAAAAAAATATTTCTCAATCAATACATAGTATAAAACAAAGTCGCTTTCGCTGTATGTCCGTATGTATGCTTAGATCTTTAAAACTACGCAACGGATTTTGATGCGGTTTTTTTTAATAGATAGAGTGATTCTTAAGGAAGGTTTGTATGTATAATACATGCATATTGCACCCGTGCGAAGCCGGGGCGGGTCGCTAGTAAGAAATAAAATGGGAAAGGAATCAGAATTAAAATATTTCAAAAGATTATTTTCAAGTTTTTAAATTTTGGACTTATTTACTGAAATTAAGCAAGCAGCAGTTACTTTAAAATATTTTACATATATAACATCATGGCTTTTATTCCCGAAGTGGTAGGTGGAGTTGAACATTAACTCGTCGAGTACCGTCATTATAGACACAATTATAGAACAATAGGTTGCGGTCACCGGTGACCGCTTGGTGTTTGACAGTTTAATGCACTTAATGCCACTGTACAATGTAACACCCACTTTTCACTATTTATGTTATGAGTCCCATGTAATAGGGGTGAGCTTATTGCCATAATTATACCGGGCACATTTCCATACTCCGTGTTACTACAGAGAATTAAAAATAAACTAGTTATACTTTGCCCGACCCGGGAAATCCGGGAATCGAATTCGAAATCCGCTGCCTTGCAGTCACACTTGCGACCACTCGGTCACCGATGCAATGCAAATATTTTCAATCACATATTAATACAATAAACAATTAACAACTCAAAGTATTGAAAAGTCTTCTTATATATGTATGCATGGCCTGTCTACCACGCAACTACCGAATAAGGAGTCCCGGGTTCGATTCCCAGGTTGAAATAAATATTTTTTAGATAATTTTAGGATTCCCAAAAATTCTTAGTAACTTGGGAATATTCCTTATCATTAAAAAATATAGGAGGTGCATTGGATATAGCTAGAAATATTATTAAAACAAAGTACTTGACTTATAGGAGTACTGACAATTTTAAATAGGGAATTAGGAGTGTCCTTAGGGCTTTACATAGGTGTATTTTAGGACACAGTCACACCCACACCATTTAGAAATAGACCTAGATGTAGAAATAGATCTCGCTGTCTACATCTCCTCTCCACATTTGAGCATTTGAAATATTGACTTGGAAATGATAGTAATTAAAATAAAAAGAGGATAAAATGGGTGTGGTCGCAATGAAATAAGTTGACTAGACTATTTATAATAACTACACTTTTCGTAAGTGGATAGGCAAAGAGATACCTAAGTTTTTGACATGCCTAACTAACTTAAACTTATTGGTTGACAATTGAGTTTAAAACTCAACTCAACTCTATATAATTATAATTTCGCGGCTTCGTATCGGGATACGAAGTCGCGAAATGCATAACGGGTTGCCGAGTGGTTTGAAAGCAGGAGTAGGAACGGGGTGGTTTTAGTCAGTAAGAGTCTGACACTCTTTCTCGCCTAACCCAACGCGGGTTATTTTGATGATTTTGTCCCCTAAAAAAACTACGTATATTAAATTTATTATATTAAGGAATAGGTAGTCCAATTAGAAAATCAAACATGTAGAGCTAGGCAGAGATAGATAGTTCAGAAGATACCTAAGTATCTTTTGAACATGATAATTTTAGGTATGGTCCGCCTTTGGTTAGCAGTGGCCACTTATACTGTTAAATAATGAGGTACTACTTAATTGATTTTATTATTTAAAAAATCATAATAAAAATAGTTAAATAGTTTATTGGTATTCAAATTTGCTTTTAACTTTGACTTAAATCGATCGGTCGCGAGGTTAACTAGGGACGAATACACTTTAAAGACATTTTCGATTTTTCAAAAATATCTCAGTATCTGGCTAAAACCTCTTCCCTATTTCTAGGGGCTCATAACAAAGCATCTTAAAAGAGGGTGTTATATTTTTGCACTATATAGGGCTTTTTTTGTTAACTTAAATTCACTAAATGCTTTGGACCTC